ACATGAACATCGAAATTTCCAATTAGTTGGTTAAAACATGTAGAAAACATATAAACTACTAATTATCCTTCATATAAGATTCAAAAATGTTATAAATTCGCCGCCAAATACATAAGTTCATATGCCTTCCAACAATATTTAGGTCGGGGAGGATCGGGTTTAGCCAAACACCATACCCTACCCGTACCCGTACAAATTGTAAAATCCCAAAACCCATCCCCACCACCAAAATCAATTTTTCACACAAAAAAAAATGCCCGAGCACTAACAGGTGCCTGCCAAGTAAGGTGGAAATTGCTATCCCCACTCTCCCATACCTTTCCAACTTCTATTGGGAAACCACCAGTGCCTCCTTCACTTTGGTAATTCTAATTTTATGAAGGTGCATGTTACTTTTAATACTATTGGATTTATAACTATTTTTCCTTCTTTCTTTAATTTCCTGATCGTTTATCAACACTCTTTGATCTTTGTCTTTAAGCCATCCAACTTGGTTTAAGCCTCTACCATTTCTTTCTCATTTTTGCTGGTTTTAAACTCAATTTTCTCCTTTAGTGCCTAATTTATGATACAGTTCAAGTGTTCAACATACACCTTAAATTTAACTTCACTCACTTTCTTTTTAACTTCCTTTATAATGGTTTATATTTTTCTAAGTAACATTTTTTGTCTTTTGCTAGTCTTTAATAGCATGTTCATTTTACTTCGAGTATATTTTCAACATCTCCACTCCACTACCAAGTTTCTTTATCACTTTGTCATTTTCCTTTACTCTCCTAAAACAGCTTTCACTATTTTTTATTTTTTTATATAGTTGACCATTTCAAGCCACATGCCATTAGTCTCTTCATCTAAATTCTATTTTCTTTCTACTACCAGTCTGTCTTTAAATTGTATTAATTTTTCTCCTTTTAGATTTTTTCCACCTAATTCTTAAGCATCTATTTTCTATTCCTTTCCTCTTCCATTTTTTAATACACACATCTACCACCACTACTCTATGTTGTGTGATTAAGCTTTCCCCTAGAATAACTTGCAATCATTACACATCATTCCTTTTGTTCTCTTAGCAAGAAAAAATCTATTTGACCTGAGTTTGATCCACTTTTAAATGTAAAAAATCTATTTGACCTAAGTTTGATCCACTTTTAAATGTTATTAAGTGTTCATCCTCTACATTTACTTTTGTCAATATCATAAACAACCGCAAATTCTAAAATTGTATCTCCTATTACCCAAACCCTTCATGCACGATATCATAAACACCCTGATTATTGGCCTCTTCTCCCAGTTCCCACAAAAAAAAAAACTCTCATACACTTCTGCAACCTCTTTCCAATGTCCAACCTTGGTTGGGACACAAAAAGTTGACAAGTATAAGGGTAAGCTCGCCAGCGTGGCTCTAATTAATGTGATTCTATCTCCAATCAAGATGTAATTCTTTTTCTATAGAGCTAGTTTAGAGAGGGTAGGACTGATCAAATTCTTTCCTCCAATCACATTCATTGAGGTTCCCCCTATTTCACAATAAATGGTTCTCTCCCCTTCAAACATGTCTCTTCTTTTTTACATTCCTAGTTCCCTACTTTGCAAGACAATGTTCCTCAAAACTTATAATTAATCAAGCTTTCCAGTGCCTATTAATAATAATGCATATTTTCAAGTTTCAACAAGTATCCTTTAAAGAAATTTATCAAGTGCAATTCATGTAAATATAACTTTGTACAACCTGGCGCTGCCACTCCATCAGCCTTCCTCTCAAGAAAGCTGAGCCTCTAATCTTTATCAAAGTTTTAAGGTGCAAAACCTCCAAAGGGGTACTTCAATTCAGGTCCTTAACTCAAATCGGCATTCATCCGCCTTAGTGTATTTAGAGACATACAAAAAAGAACCTCTTTTCTATTCCACAATTTAGAGACATATTTTTTTTGGTAATAAAATAAAATTCATATAAAAAACAGAAGAAGATACAAAGAAGGTGACAGCAGTCACCCAAGAGAAAAAGAAAAACAAAACTTCACACCTAACACCCAACTTCAAGAACCACATCCAAAGTCAAGCACAGCCTACCCAACCCCACAAAGAACAACAGGCCCCAACAAACAATGAAAAATAAAAACAAACTACAGAAAGACAAAACTCCACCAAACACCATTCAAGACTTCACTCAATTACCTGAAGCGGGAAAAAAAGACTTCAGACAATTACTCAGAATTCCCAATAGGCTTGAACTAGATTCCAACAATTCTCTTGCAAGTTTTCTTAGTTCACCTTCTTAATAGGCCCAACTCCAAATAGGAACTCTTCCAATCTAGCAAAAAAAAGACTTTACTCAATTACTCAGAACTCTCAAAAGGCTTGAACTAGATTCCAACACCTCTCTTGCAAGCTTTCTTAGATTTCTTCACCTTCTTAATAGGCCCAACTCCAAATAGGACCTCTTTCAATCTAGCAAACATTTTCAAAACCTGAATCGTTCTATAATTTTTCTGCCTACCAAATCACCTTACAGAATTAGGATTCTTTTGATGACATTTCAGATCCGCAGAGCAAGCATTTATCCTTTCTAACTCCAAAACCACGTCCTTCTTAAAGAACTGATCAGCCACCATTTCTCCTTCCTCTTTGTTAATTTCTCCAGCATCCATATGAAATTTTAAGCCATCACTTATTGAATTAACTCCAGATGCTTCCAAGTCCAAAATATCTTTCCCCCTTCCTCTTTGTAGGCAACTGATACTTTTCTTTCCTTTCTCATTATCTTAAATTGTTAATGATTGGACCTGTTCTCATTATTTTGACTTGCATTAAAAAGACAATTATTTAAACCTGTTTCAACTGGAGAAACCTTATCATCTCTTCATTTTCCCACATCAGATATTCTGGAAGCTTAAAAAATACATAATGCATGATCTAAAACTGAAACAGGAAAATAAACTTCGTAAGTAACCAAGTGCAGCCCTCAGATCTCATAGCTTCTGGCACTCATCAACAGTATATAAAATGATTTGATCATAAAGAGGGTGAAAATGTTTAAATCACGAAGAGAAGAAGGATAAGGAGCAAGAGAAAGAGGAGGTGGTAGCAGAGGCAGAGATGCTTAAGGCTCAAAAGAAAGTGCATGCAACTGCTCTAACTAATGAGTTTCCAATATTGGGTTGCCAGGGTGGGGTCCACAAACAAGGAAAGCCAAATAGCAAAAGGTCTCATCCTAGTATGGCATTGCAAGTTTGCAACAGAAAAATGTAATACTATAAAACATCAATAGAACAACAGAATACTATAAAGTACCCATTCCCCAAACAACCATGTCTTGTAACTTTTTTATGGTAAAAGAAAAGAAATTTTATTAAAATAAAAAGGAAAACGGTTACAACCAAAGTAGGGTGTTAAAGCAAGACCTTAGGCTAAACATAATTACTCAGATACAAACAGAACTACAACTTTGTAACTCAAGCAATTCCTACAATCCTTTCCCAAATTCTGATCTAGCCACTTGTGCAAACTATAGAAGGACCAGACCATCTTCCAATTGACTATAAGCTTGCAATATGCACCACCAACTTATCCACACTCTGAACCTAATCTTTGAAGAGTCTTTTGTTCCTCTCCTTTCAAATGCCTCAAGCAGACTGCAAAAGGAATGCAGCTCCAAACCAGTTTGGCCGTTTTGCACCCTCTAATCTTTGGCCAAGTGGAGAAAATTCTGGCAGGATCCCTTGGCTGATAGCCTCTTACTCAGGAAAAGGAAGAAAAGAACCTCCAAATGAAATCAGCAACTCTATAAGATATAGAATATGCTAGCAATGCTGAAACCTCTATTCTTCAAGTGTTCTGCCATTAAAATACTATCCATGGCAACCAGCCAAGCAAAAGCCCTCCACCCTCATGGAATAGGATTACCCCAGACTCCTTCAGCCTGAACAGATTGCTGTTGATTTTGGATTAAAGCTGCAAAAAATGACTTCACTGAGAATTTTCCATTCTTACACTCCACCCACAACTTGTCCCTTGAAGAGCCTGAGATCTTTGTTTTTCTCTAGCCTGCCCGGCAATTAAATGCATTCTTCCACTTCCCAATCAAATAGTGGTCTTATGAAGGATCCCAACATCATGTTCAACAATCCTGTAAAGGTGCAGGCAAAGATCACATAGCTTCCCTACTTGACACCATTATCCTCCCACATGCCTTGTAATGTTGTTATTATATGAATGTTCTATAAAACTAAGCAAATCATGGCCCTGCCAACAACCCACCAAGAGAATTGGGAATGGAATGGCATACCCAAACACTGTAAGCAGCCAAGTATTATCAACTTTATATAGTTTGGGCTAGTAAAAGGTTCAACTGTATAGTGCCACTTGCCAAGGTAAATTCTGATAATCATCAATGAAATGGGAAGATGCACATAACGGTATAAGGACTTCTACTTGTGAACGTCAGAATTGAAACTAATAAAATTATGTAGTATAAAAGCTTAACAGGGAGGCTCAAGATGGGGTAATATGAGAAGTCCGAATTCACTGGAGTTCGGATACAGCAAACTTCCTTCAAATAATGATGTAATCTGAATGTTCGTCTTGAAACCAGTAAGAGTTAACAAACTTTTCATGTTTCAACCAATCTCCTTTTTTACCATTCCCACTCTGCATTTCACTGGCTCGGACAAGCTACTTTCAGAAATAGAAGTTGGCAGGAAAACCGGTTGAAGTTCCTCAAACCTCTTGTCTTACTGGGAAGCCTTCGTTCCCTCTCTAAAATGTAGAATTAAGCTCATCTTATAAAAACCGTAGCCCATAAAAAACAAGAAAGAACACTCATTTCTGAGAAGGCACGCACAACAAATCAAGTTCAAAGAAATTGAAAACAACTGATATCACAACACAAATCTACTCACAAAGGTCGATCCAAGTTCAAGCAATAATGACGTGTGAAAAGAAAATGTTAAGTTTTAGGGTTTTAAGTACAAAGAAAAAGGAAAGAAATGAAGGGAGCTTACCGTAGTCAGGGCGAGGGCGCTTCGGTAAGCCCGCCGATGGGTACATAGGCGGTTGTCGGTTCCAGTAGCCGTCCGCCATGGCCGCAACAGCGTAACAGGAAGAAATGAGAGAATGACTGCAGAAGGCGAATAAATAGAGAAATCCCTGTCAAAATCTAGTAGCTCGAGAAAGAAAGAGTTGAGCGCGGGAAAAAAAAAAATCTCCTCTGTTGTCTGGACGTTGGAGTGCTTAAAGCCTTAAACCCTACCTCGCCTCTTGTTGTCTGTGTTCGACTGTTCGTCTTCAGTTCTCTCTTTTTCCTCCTCCTTCGGTTTTTCCCTTATTTTCGATAATTCTGCTCTGCTCCTGCTCTGCAATTGCCGCTTAAATCCATGTACAGTATGTACAATGACCAAAATGGCCTTGTGATGTTCCGCGAGACGGGCATGTCAAGAACTAAAGACCTCGTCAGTCTGTCCGTCCGTCGTCCGTTCCCTCTTTGAGCCGTACAGGCGACACGCGGCGAGTCAACCATTTTTAATTCCTTAGATAGTAAGCAAGTATTTGGATTGGTCAAATCCGTTTCTAATACGATACTTCATAAACCGTGAATTTGGTTCCTCGTCTGCCAGATCCACGGAACCAGTTTGAAAAACATGCAACATATCGGCTCCTACTTCGATGGCAACGGGATGGAGCGTGCCACAGGCCCACACTCATCCCTGTCGCCGTCGCCGTCGCCATCACCACGAGGACCTTCACTCCTTGCCATTTTTTCATGATATTAAAATTTGGGATTAACTTTGGCTGTTGGGGCCAAGAGCTACAGCGTATGTTGTTGAGAGCATTTTTGGGCTGGGGACGTTCACATTATGGGTGTAAGTCGGGCGGATTGAGTTGGGTATATGGTCAATTCGGGTCTGGTCCTAAAATTTGGGCTTAGGACATGAGTCCGAGGTCAAGTTCGATCTTTTCAATTTGTGCCCAGCTTGTATTGTAATTTGATTCACTTGGATTAGGATCGGGTTGGCCAATGAACCTACTCTAAAATTATATATATGCATATATACATATATACAAATTATGAATACCTGTGATTGGTTTCTGGAATTTTTAGTACACTAAAATACCCCATTTATAAGGTTTGAATCAATAAATGACTCTTCTTTCTCATTTAATGCTTATTACAAAAAAGACATAAATCTCCATTCTTTTTGTTCATAATTGTAAAACAAGTAAATGACAAAAATGTTATTTAACATTCTCATCGAGTTCTTGTTAGGGAAAATAAACAAAAATCCCTCATTTTGTTTATTAATTGTAAAACAAACCATTGTAATTGCTCAAACCTCCCTCAAAGTTTTTGACTGTTGCCCAAGCCTCTCTTGAAGTTTGGTAATTACAATCACCTCCCCTAAACTTCTTAACACAATTGCAAATAAACCCCCTTTGTCAAACCTTCAAACAATAGGCATGAAAATGTCCAAAATACCCATATAATTATTATTGAGGTTGGTTTATACATAAAAAACAATATACATGTTATGAACAACAAAAAAAAGAGAGTTTAAAGTTGCAATTTTACCTTTGAGCAATTGATATGAAGAACAAATTTGGAAAATAAACATTTTGGTTAAAAGTAACTACATTGGTATTTTGGACATTTTTGTGTGCTTTTTGTTAAAAGATTCTAACGAAGGATCTAATTGCAATTGTGTCAAAAAATTGCATTTACCAAACTTTAGGGGAGTTCAACAATGACATTAACCAACAAGAAGAGATTTCCAACTTATAAATGGATGAGCAATTTATTCTTTAAACTATTTTCTTATTTTTTTAAATAATTTTAACCTAATTTCATTGGTTTAATTCTTGATCATTAAGGCAACAGATGGTTTTCTCTTCTTTAATTTATTTCCACCATATGGTGGGTTAATTTTTCATTTCTATTACCTTAAAGCCCAAATCATTGGATGGCAAGATATCTGCAAGAGAAGTAAGTAATTGTTTTATAGTAGTTCATTGAAGTTTTTTAGTGATTTAAGTAGTTGAAGTCGGATTTATCATAAAGAAGTTAATTCTTGCAAAGGTAACGAGAATTCAAATGAAATTCTGAAGAAGGTAACTTATAAAAATTATTAATTTTATTAATGAATCATAATAAATAAGAATAATAAGAATTTTATTAATTCTCATTACCTTTGCAAGAATTTTTGGGCATATCTTTGTATTAATTAACCATAATAAATGTGATAAATAAGACTAATTTTTATAGATGTAGAAATATAAAAAATTACAAAAACAAATTGAAAATATATTATATACTATCATCATCACAAAATTTGTCACATGTAAAGCACATACACAAATACTAGTATATACATATGTATGTATGAATGTGTATAGTTGGATCAGGTTTGGGCTACCTAAGGGTTAGGCCCAAGCCCGACCTGAAAAATCAAAAATCCTAACTTATTGAGCCAAAGCCCAGTCCAAGGATTGAAAATCCAAGCCTAACCCATGTAAAATTTTGAGTTGGGCCAGTTTGGGCTCGGGCTGGGCCGTCCAAGTTGCACCCCTAGTTCACCTATTCATGCCCATGTCTTTCTTTTTGGTTAAAACAAAATAGGGGCAATTACTAATTTACCCACTCTCATGGTAACATGGCATTCCCAAAACGCTCTCAATAGCATAAACTATTGGCCCCCAACAGGCAACAACTTTAAGGCTTTTCCTTAAAATTTAGGGTAATTTGCTAAAACCTCCCTTTGAAGTTTATAGTTGTTGCTGAAACTTCCCCAAAGGTTTAGTAATTGCAAACCCCCTAGGGTTTGGCAATTGGGCAAATGAAGAAAAGAGCACGAAACTTCTAAATAGAAATGGAATTTAAAAATTAAAAAATAAAAACAATAACATACAAAAGTACAAAATATCTAACAATTTCATCAAACTAATATATTCAACAATCATAATATACTAAGAAAATCATAAAATACAATAAACAATCATATAATCATGCCCCATGTTGATCATTTTAATTCTTCAAAGAAGCTATATGCTAGTGGTCATAAATCATTTGCATAGGTTAGGGGTGAGAAAAAAAACTGAAAAACCGAACCGACCGAAAAAATAGATCAAAATTGAACCAAAAAATTAGTTAATCAAACCGATCGGTTTGGTGTTTTTGAAAAACCAAAGGTACCGGATTGGTGTCGGTTAACCAATATAGAAAATTGGCGGTTAACTGAACCGATCGATATACATATATTTCTATATATTTTATATATATTTATATATATTTATATATATTATATATATTATATATATTATAAATTAATAAATATGCATTATATATAAATATATATATATATATTTATAATATATGATATATTATTTATTATTTAAAATATAATATTTTATATATATTTAGAATTTTTTATTATTATATATATATTACAAAAATTAAAAACTGACGAACCGAAACGGTCAACCAACTGGCTTTGGTTCGGTTCCGATTACCAGTTTTCCAAAAACTGGTAGTACTTATTCGGTTAAAAAAAAAGCCCCACGGTTTAGTTAATCGAACCATGAGCACCCATAGCATAGGTGTTTACCAATGGATGGCCGATGGTCAATATATATCCATCAACATAAGATTTCATGATAGTAGTAGCTTATGGACAATTGACTACCAAAGATCCATAGGTAAACATCTATACCAATGGTAAGGTTGGTGGTTTATGATCATTGATACTAAGCTTCTTTGAAGAATAAAAATGAGCATCATGGGGTACAATTAATTTTAGTTTTGTAGGTTATTTCTTTTTGTTTTTTTTTTTTTGGTAATGGATGGTTTTTCATTCTAGAAAGAATGAGGCCATGACAAGAATTTTGCAACCAAATACTTTAATTCTATCCATTCTTGCCCAAAATGAATAAGAATTAAAATAATGTGACCCAAAGCAGTAAACTAGACATTGCCTAAGTTGAACCCAAAATAATGCTCATAAAATATTACACATAACTAGCAATGCAACGACTATTAGAAAAATCACCTACAAAGGCAACAAAAAATGCCTCTAAAAGCATAAAAAAATGCTTCTAAAAAGAATTAGAAGCACTCAGGTGATTGCTTCTAAAAAGAATTAGAGACACTCAGGTGATTGCTTCTAAATGTTATAGAGGCACTTGACTGATATTAGAGGTAGATCTGATAAATGCCTCCAAAATTAAGATATTAAGGCACATAATCGTGCTTCCAAAGCATTATCACTAAAAGGCATTATATAGAGGCATGTATTAATGCCACCAAATGTACTTTTTTATAGGCATTTTAATTAAATTTGAGACAAACTTATTTGTCTCTAAAAGCAATTTTAAGAATCCTAATTATGCTTTATAGTAGCACTTTTAATTGCCACTAAACGTATTAGTTGTTTTTATTTAAAAGTACTTGCAACCGCCTCTGATGATAATTTATTTATGTTTTAAAAAATTATTTTATCATATGTAAAGTTTATGTAAACCTATATAAAAATATTTAATTTGCTATTTAAAATAATTAATTCACATATTCATTAAAATATAGTCATTGTTTTTTAATATTGTTCCATATTAATTGATACAAATTCAAAGAAAAAAGAATAATCCATCTACAAAAACATATAGAATAAAAAATATAAAAACAATTCACTTCCTATTCTAAGAAAAGAAAAATAAAAGTAGTTCATCTCGACACCATCTACATTCTTTTTTTCTACAACATACAAGAAAAAATTATAATACAACAAAAAACAAAAAAATAGTTAAATTAATAACTATAATTTTCAAAAACAAAAGATCTTTAACCGTTTAATTACATGTTGAAGATCTGAATGATCTGAATGCCCCAACTACTTCTCAGTTAAGATTGATTTCTACAAGAGATCTAAACTAGAATGTTTCAATATCTAATGAAAATATGATTTTTCATGCATATGCAAGCTGGAACAATCTTAGCAATGTTTTAGTATCTAATGCACTCTATCTAAAGTTCCAAGTAAATTATAGAAATAGAGAAGAAATAATTAAGATAAGTTTAATATTCTCCCTTTATTTATGAATGGGTCAAACATTGACCAACTATGAGAAATAAAGCTTTGCCACCATAGACATTGTTTTGACCACTAATGAGTATATATAGAATAAGTGAAATAGGTTGGATAAAATTCTGTTGCAATATTTTGGAACCCAGATTGGGTAAGATGGACCGGACTCCTCCATTTTTTGCCTTTTCATATAAACTGAATGGATATAAATTTCTGTCCTTTAACTCATTATTTTCTAATTTCCTATTACAATTAAATTCTAGGTTGCTTCTTTTTGAACTTGAGTTGTCAAG